ATCCTCAGCACCACATACCAACAAAGATGTTGTGTCCGCCGAGAACTAAAAAATAAATATTAAAAAAATTCTCTCTCTCTCTCTCCTCTCTCACTCTCTCTTTAAAAAAAAAAAAAGAAAGAAAGAAAGAAAATCTAAAGGAGATCAGTAGAGTAACAGGACCAGGGGAAGGAAGGAGGGAAGGGAAAAGGGAAATATTATAGAATGATATTGGCCAAATTATAGTGTTATATGGTGAGCATGTACAAATATGTAACAACAAATCCCACCATTATGTGCAACAATAAAGCACCAATAAAAATATGGAAAAATAAAATATCTTCCTTCTTTTTTCTTAATTCCCATTATCCTTAGCATTCCTCTTATTTGCCTTAATTTAACCCCTGTCTGTGCTTCTCAGGAGGGGAAGGTTGAGTTTTAGAAAGGAAAAGGAGGGATTGACTATAGAGATTGAAACATGCTTGACAGCCAGCCAGTGCCTGCCATGATAACACACAAACACACAGCCTACGCATGTTAGTATTGCACCCTGTCCACGTGAGTCAGTTACACACAGATTCACTCTATAGCATCTAGATGTCACAGGCCCACACTCAGCCCAGTTTCCTATGGCTTCAGAAACATCTTGGTTCCTTCTCATGTGCAGTTAACACCAAAACCCAACACAAGCAATTCTCTCTGGCCAGTTTGTGTCTTCAAATTCCTCAGACCCTAGTTTGGCATTAGGGATACTAATGCAGGAAGCCTGAGTGAAGTGGTCACCTTCAGAGGAGTATTGATCCAGAGTCACTCAAGACAGAGGGACTCCCCATATAGATGCACATTGACACGTGTGTACATGAGCTTAAATTTGCAGCTCACAAACTTCTTCCACATTCACAGTCATCCACCTCATCCAAAGTTGGGTGAAGTGGTTAAAGATTAAATCAATCCTGCTCTGATGCTGAATGCCCTTAACTGCCCACTCCCCACCTGATAGAGAACAAGGACTTTGGGTTACTTTCCCCAACTTCACCCCTTTTCAGCAGGAAGCCGTTTGGAGATGTTATCCCCCATATTTCCATGGAAATGGAATGTAGAAATTGACAATTTGGGGAAGTGTAACAGTAGTCCACTTTAAATATAACACTTGCTTTGAATATAATGCTGCTCTGCCACTGCAACTTATTTTTTTAAATGGACATGTTTCTTTCTCTTCCTCTCTCCCTGCTCCTCCTAATCTCTCCCCCTCCCTAATCTCAGGGAAAACAGTATTACCACATGAATAAAGTAACCCAGACTTTAGGAATGGTACCAGAAGATCTCAGAAATGACAACCTCCCAAATTGAGGAACTCTAGGTAGGCCAGAGGGGTGGGAGGCAAAGTGAGGAGGCAGGGGGTTAGCAATGATGGAGGAATGTGATGACATCTTTAGCCAAAGTACATGTATGAAGACATGAATTGGTGTGAACATACTTTATATACAAACAGAGACATGGAAATTTGTTCTATATGCCGTAATAAGAATTGTGATGCATTCCGCTGTCAGGTATTTAAAAAATAAAACCAATTAAAAAAAAAAAACATGACAGGGCTGGGATTGTGGCTCAGTGGCAGAGCACTTGCCTAGCATGTGTGAGGCACCAGGTTCTATCCTCAACACCACATATAAATAAGCAAAAAATAAAGTACATCAACAACTAAAAAAAAAAAAATGACAACCTCCCAAATTAGCAAGTGAATTACAACTCCAGACAGAGAACACGTGAAATGTAGCCTTTGAATCACCTGTTTAAAAGCCCCCTGTTTCTGCTGGTGGTCAGAATCACAGCCTTTAGGACAGGAGTCCCCTCTGTTTCTCCTTGGCTAGCAAAGCAATAAATCTTTTCCTTTTTCTCAAAAAAAAAAAATTAAATCAATCGCTCATTTTTCCCCCCTAAAACTCAACCTTCTCTTCCTGAGAAATGATGCGCACTTTACAGAGGAGGAAGCTGAGACCAGTAAAGAGTTGTGCTTTGGGCAAAGGTGAAGATGCCAGAGAGCTAAGCAAATTCAGGGCCTCTTTGTCCCAGCCTAGAACCCTCTGTTTCACTGCAGTTGCGAGAGCTTCGAACCCAGAATGCAGCTTAGATCAGCAGGGGTCGAATCCCCTCGCTGCTACCCACCCAGCCGGATCCCACCAAAGCCACGCCCTCCTTTTGGCGACCGCTAGGGAAAAAGGAGAGAAAGGCCATAGCTTGTCTCTTTAATGCGCGCCCCCGAGGCCTGGCGCGCCCCCGCCACTATAACTGGAGTGCATGGAGCAGGCTGCTCTCAGAGGGAGTGGGGCAGGCGCTGGGTACCCGTTGACCGACTTTTCCAAGTGCCATCAGAGGCCAGTCCTTTCCGCTTCCTTGGACCAGCCTCAGGGTGCTCACAGCTGAGGACTTTACACCGGCTGGGCTCTGGGCTGGGTGGTACCCAGGTGCCGCGCCGTGACCCTAGCCGGCTGTGTCCGCTTCCCGCCCCTCTTCCCGCAGCGCTCGCCGTCGGGCGAGAGCTCTGCCGCCGCCACGTCTCACACCCCGCACTACCCGCCTCATGCTGGTGCATACTTACTCCGCCATGGTGAGTAGTCTCAGGTCCCGCCGCACCGGGCACCCTTGGCCGGAGAATCGAGGAGCCCGCGCGCTGCATCTTCCAAACCTCCTGCCCTAGCGCCAACGAAATCTCGGAGGGAGGGAGCAGTGAGGACTCCGCCAGCTTAGAGGGAGGTGGGTAGGAGACCACGGTCCTCACCCTGAGGCTCCTGCGCCCGCGGGTCATTCGGTGATAGACACTGGGCCCGAGGAAGAGGATCGGACGGCAGCTGGATCCTCCGGAGCCAAGAAGGATCCTTTCTGGTTGGGGTCCTTTCAGCTGCCGGCGGGTCACCTAGCTCTCCCTTTCCTTCCCAGGAGCGCCCCGACGGGCTCGGCGCAGCGGCTGGCG